ATCTGCAGGTTTTCACTAAAACACCTAGGCTTTAAAGCATGTATGTTAACATTTCTCATACACATTTCTGAAATTTTCTGAGATTCTAAAGGGTTTCAAGTACATGCATGCCATCACAAATTCTTCAGTGTCAAATGAAATATTAGATAGCATTGTTTCATACCTTAACGAGCGAACCCAGCAGCGATATTCCTCCTTGTCCTTTCTTTTATTTGGAAAACAAAAAAGACTTGGGTGATTCCAACTGATGTTTACAATCCGGAGCAAAGCACGGTACCATGGCGACCCCTGACCTTACCAATCGATCAAAAACATCCTCATACTGTCATGTACATGTATATCGCTCTTCCTGCGGCAAAGTTTTGCGAGAAACTCAAAGTTTGGATCTAAATCCATGTCCTCTTTTGGTCAAAACAAACGTCACGTGAAGAATAACAATGTTATTCAATGCACAAAAGAGAAGACAAATCCAAAATGGTGACTGTGAGTATTTCGCATGACTTTGTTTAGAACCAAGAATTTGGTTGTCATCACATCATGACGTCACCCTTTAGTACTCTATTGATTTGACACATTAAAAGAACAAACAACACAAGTATCCAAAAATATGAATAAATTCTCCAAAAGATAACAAGAGTGGCAATGTTCTTCACACAAGAGCTGGCACAAAGAGATAATGGCAATGCCACCTAATGAAGACATGACAAGGCATTGGAATGTATCCCTGTTACATGTATGTACTAATTGGACTAGCCGCATAGAAATGGAAACCTAGGCAAGTACTTTTTGAAGCAGCCTCACATGATGACTATATACACTGCATGTCAGTCTACAAAACGTTGCCTCGTAACAAACAGCTTAAAGGATGCCAGTCAACAACAGAAGAAAAGAAGAAAAGAAGGGACAACAACCCTAATCTTTACTGCTTAATTAATTAAGGTGATTCCTTAGTACTGTACTACATTGCGAACCCTTCAAGTGCAGAATTTTACACTTATTCAATAGCATGCAAAACAAAATCATTACTCGAGGACACAAGTTAGGACCTTAAAATTAATCCAACAATTTGAGGAATGCTTTGATTGTACATCATTTGGATTACTTTTAGATTCTTTTCCATTAGTTGTTTATTACATTGTTCCTTATGCTCAAAACTTCATGTATGCCTATATAAGTTCATAAAAAAAAACTGTACATGTACCTTCCAACCACCGCAAAATGCAATGTGGAGTGATAAAATAAATGAATAGTACTATTTATAAGAACTGGCAAAATAGGGTAAGACTGGTACATCATATCTCTTTTGCAAGCATGGTGACCTATTTTAAGTTACTTTTAGAGACTGAGCTATGTAGGGATTAACATTCAGGGAAATGTATTGTACATTTGTTTTCATTATTGTGCCCTGGAGATTACTTTAAGCTTACTTCAAAATTGGTAGAAATCATTGCCAATACTGATAGAAGCAAAGAAATATCAGACAAAATAAAGGCTCAAATGTTCAAACTGTCACAAGAATGGTACACTTGATTTCTTGACATCCTGAACTAAACTCAAATTTCTTGAACTGTAACCAATTTCAATCCTTGCAATCCTGCACTTTATTCCGAAACTACTGTTTTTGCTTTGCTGTATAGCATTTTTTCCCCAACTAAGCTGTACATTTGGTGGCATTTAGCGATACAAGGTGGCAATAAGCTGAGTGAAAATTTGCTCTGTCGGCATGACAGCGTTTCTTTATGCCCGTGACGGAGGCAGATCTTAATTGCAAAATGCAAAACACAACAGTGTGGTCTATACAAACGGCATGTATTAAAACCCGAAAGAACGAAACGAAACCACCGAAACGAGTGGAACGAGTAAAACGAAACAACCGAAACGAAACGAGCGAAACGAAACGACCGAAACGAGTAAAATAGTAAGTAAATAAATGAAAAAGTTAAAAAAAGGCCTTGATCTCTAGTACGTTACTATGGCAGCCGGATCTCGTACCCAGATCCTGCTCTTAAGCCAAATGTTTGACATCATGACATCACAAACCTGGAAGGTGGATGAGCGGAAGCCTGTCGAGCAGGAAGACATCGAGAAAAAGGTGGGTATTTTCACATTCTGAATGGTATTCTAGCTAAAACAAGAAATCTAATTTCAAAGAGAGGTTTTCTGGCCGTAGCGTGGATTTGTAGACAGTGGCGAATCGAATGGTCTTTTCGAGAATGAATTTGCAGCATTCTTCGTACGAGCCAGGACTTTCTTTAATATATATCTCTAAAGAAAAACGAGGGCGACTTAACAGGCTTTAATCACATTAACGTCAGGCCTTCGTGACTCCTGCAGTTCTCAAAGTAATTTCTTATTAGGCGCCCAGCTCTTCACGGATATTCTTGAGATTGTGTTTCCGTACATCCTGGGCTCGGCGTTGTCGATTCGCCACGCCTAAGAATCCACGATACGACTTGAAAACCTTTCTTTGAAATTATATTTCTTGTTTTAGCTAGAATGCCATGCAAAATGTGAAAAATACTCACCTTTTCTTCGATGTCTTCGTGGTTGTCGTCGACACCCTTGCGCTCATCCATCTTTCAGGTTTGAGATGTAACGATGGCACACATGTGGATCCGGGTACGAGATCCGGCTGCCATAGTAACGTGCCAGAGAGATCAAGGCTGTTTTTTTTTAAACTTTTTCATCTATTTACTTATTATTTTACTCGTTTCGGTCGTTTCATTTCGGTCGTTTCGGTGGTTTCGTTTCGCACGTTTCGCTCGTTTCGCTCGTTTCGATGGTTTCGTTTCGTTGTCTCGTGTTTTAGTACATGCTTATACAAACTAGTGCCAGCTTAGTTCGTGCCGCTTGAAAGCAACACGATGAACAATACTTAGATTGCTGATGAACGTGTCGAAATGGCGTCGTAAACTTGAGCCTCTCACTCTATTACTACAAACAACATAATACAATACAATACACTTCACAAAGCTTCTTACCAACAATATTAAGCTTCAAAGGCAGTTGTAAATGTGTTTCGGAACATGCAGAAAGATGCGGCAAAACACCCTCATGATAAAAATCACAATCGATAGGTTTTAAGCTTTCACCTGGCAAGCACCGTCCCGTCTCTAATTTATATAATCTCAGAGGACACGGTCACAACGCATTTTCATTGGGAGAAACAACAACACATACAATTGGTCAAAAGGTGTTAGACATCCGACTGTGACGCTCGTGGTGTGCGACCAAGAGAGTGACAAAAATAGTCGACTGCCAACTACAGGTTTTCAAACGAATGCGAAGATAGATCAGGAAGCAGATTGCACCCTAACCACTATGCCAGACTAATGGACCGCCAAGGTGAGCCTTTGAACGAAACACAAGAAAGTAAACAAGCTGAACGGGAAGAAGTGGTTGCTGCTTGGATTGAACGACCGATTAACCGGATCAGGGTGCAACGATGTCTGAGCGGAAAAAATCTCCAGTTCGAGAAACTCCTGGAAGCGCTCGAGGTTTACCAAGATAAGGGGATGTATGAGCAATACGATCGCCTTGTCAAGGCGATAATTCAGTTACATGAGAAAAGAGGGGATTTTATCAAGGCTTTGGTCTTGAAGATAAAATCAGCAACCTACTTATACCGATATGACTGGAAACACGCCAAGAGACTGCTTGCTTCGGTTATAACATCTGACCTTCCGGTCGAATATTCGGATGTCATAAAAGCAAGAGCCTACTGCTCACTAGCACTTGTGGCTCGTATAAGAAGAAAAGAAAAATACAAAACAAACCAGTTGTTGGAATATCTTGAACGTAGCGAACATCTACTGCGCTTTTACGACTTGCCTGAGGATTGGGCTGTGCTCTACCTGACCTACGGCTGCGTTTGGATGGATTACATGTACATGAGCAATCTTCCGCTTGACAGGAGAGACGTTGTACGAGAAAAAGCGATGGATTACTTTCGCAGAGCCATCTATTACAGCGAACAAGATCATCGGGCGAGAGTTAAGATGAAAATACAAATCCAGGCCCACTTCAAGGTTGCAATGATACACCTAGGTTATTGTTCAACCTTTGCACCGGCTCAAGAAAATCACATTCCACTGAAAGATATTAAAGAAGCTGAAAACCACCTTGACATTATCCTGTTCAAATTCGGTAACACTATCCCCATGGCTGCAAGGTTCCTTTTTATGAAGACCCAATCAGATCTGTTTTATCATAAGGGACAATACCAACCAGCCAAAGACAAGGCCGAGGATGCTCTCGAGTGCGCTTCCCGCCTTGGCTTCAACACAGAGTTGAAAACCTTGCAAGAAAGAATAGATTTCTGTCAAAAGAAACTTGAAACAGTACGCGACCAGATATTGTCAGGTAATTTGTTGTAATCAGGGCTGGGTTGTTCGGAAATTGGGTTAATGCTAATCCAGGAGTAAAAGTTAACCGAAGTATAAATTTATCTTCTATCAGTGTTTTTTGTTCCTTTAGGGTCAGGACTCCTGTTATGGTTTGAGATTATTCAAAATCAAAACAGAAGGCCGAAATGTAAACAGAAAACCTCGCTGCAAAGTTACAAAACTCAAATCAAATTTCTTGTTTATTGTGGGTTAGCTTAATCGGGTTTTGAACAAAATTAATTGGCCCAGGAGCTCAGCTTTGAGGCTTAGCCAAATCTATTAAAATATTTGATTATGAGCTCAAGATTTCTATTGCGTGATAGTTGACAGGGCGCAACCCGAGTCAACTGTCACGCATAGAAATTGAGAGCGAATAATCTAGTTGTTTTAGTATAAATCTACTAGTCGTTCAAAACTTCATCTAAATGCTCTTCACAGACACCTCAAAAACACCAAGAAGTGGCTGTCAGTTTGTTAACAAGGGCTCACTATTACACTACTCACTATCTATCACAGAATAGATAGTGAGTAGTGTAGCCAATCAGAGGATGGCATTCGCGATAGAACGCTAGTAGATTTAAACTTACCAAAAAGGTTTGATTAAATAATAATATTATTATTAATATTCGCACAGTTAATTGTAGCAGTGTACCTTGGTTGAATGATATTCTCTTATTTTTTCCTCATGCTCACAAAAGTCATGTACATGTACATGTATATTTGCCCTGTTGTTTTGGTTGTGTCCCCAAGTTGATGTTATCTTTTGTCTAAAATGGGTCATTTAGGCGCTAACGCTAAATGAACGTGTTATCAAACGTACTGGGTCGAAAACAGTCCTTAAGATGCATACAAACTGTACAGATTGTCAAACCATTTATCCATCTTGCTCAAGTAAGACGTGAATTATTTTCTAAGTCCCCTTAATAAGGGTACAGTTTTTAAAATTACACAGGCCGAAAACAGTCTTAATGGTATGTCAATTTCACTAATCAACAATCGCGTCAGACAGCATGTGTAGTTAGTAGTCATAGATGTCTTAGTCTTTATTCGCTCTCTATCATTCATTACGATTATTTACATTAATTACAATCAGATAATAGTCGATAAGGCAGGAGATCCAGCAAGCTCAGTTGAGCATTTTCTAAAAGATCCCTACAATATTATGTCACTATTATTATGTAATTAAATAGTATACATATTTAAACTGATTGAAAGAATTTGATATTTGGTCAACTATAATATTGTTCAATCATGAAAGCAATTTGCAGAAATACTTTCAAGTGTAATTATTTGAGCTCTGTTTGGTCCTTTAATGCGTAATGCATAGACTGGATTTTAATGTTAAATATGATACATTTTAATCCACATTCATTAGTACCGCAAGAGATCCAAGCCCAGGGCCTTAGGGCTGAAGCTGCCTTTAAAGAAGCCATGGAAAAAGGAAGTGTAGAAGTTTACCATGGTCGTA